ATTTTAAATTCACTTTTATTTTTCAAAAATAAAAGGGTATTGTTAAATTTTAACGTGTAAAGTAGGTATGTATATTTATCCCGATTTGTACCGATACCGATACCGAACCATCCCGAACTATACCGAACCCATATTTCGGGATCGGGATCGGTACAGACCAAAATCCCATACCGAACCGAAATATTTGGTACGGTATCGGTACGAGCTAAATACCGTACCATACCGTACCATGCTCACCCTTAGCCATGGTTGTCGGTTTTGGACCACCCAAGTGTAGCTTTTGACACATAGGGTATGGAATCAAGCTAACACTTGCACCAAGATCACAAAGAGCTTTGTTTACTTTAGATCCTCCGATGTAGCATGGAATTGAAAAACTTCCAGGATCACGTAGTTTTGGTGTGATCTTATTTTGGATAATGGCACTACACTCTTGATTCATGGCCACCATGAGAGGATTTTCCTTCTTCTTTGTTAAGATCTCCTTGAGAAATTTGGCATATGAAGGAATTTCGGTGATGGCATCAAGCAATGGAATAGAGATATCCAATTGCTTGATAAGGTTTAAGAACTTGCTTCTTCTTTCCTCCACGTGTGATTTCTTCAATCGGTTTGGAAAAGGAATTGGTGAAGCATATTTCCTTATTAAACCCTCATCTTCTTTCTTATTTCCTTCTTTGATCTGGATTGACTCCTGCAACATTTCAGCAGCATCTCCTTTTACTTTGTTTTGAGGTTCTTCCTTTGCATCCTCCCTTATTTCATCATCGGGATCACTACTCAGAATGAGAGGAGATTGAAATTGTTTCCCACTCCAAATAGTAACTGCATTCATTTGCTCTCTTGGGTTTTCAGCACAAGCTGGCAACTTTCCGGTCACCTTTGTTGAGGATGTTGATGCTTGATTAGAAATTTGATTTTCAAGCATCCTATTGTGAGCTCGAAGTTGAGTGAGCTCTTGTGTTATCTGCTTCAAAGTTTCAGCTTGGGCCAATTGAGATTTGAGGAGTTGATCAACGATGTTGTCCAATCCGGGAACTGATGTTGTTTCGGGAGTTGGCAGAATCGGCTTTTGTTGATTGGAAACATAGGGGAAGCTTTGGTTTTGCTTAAATTGTTGATTGTTAGCAAAACCTTGGACACCTCTAAATTGTTGTTGTTGTTGATTTTGAAAGCCGGGTGGTGAACTCCGATAAGCTTGTGGATTGGCAGCTCCACTAGGATTACTCCAAGAGAAACCAGGATGATTTCTGTTTTGAGAATTAAATCCACCAAATGGACTTTGTTGTTGCTGCGGCTGGTAGTAATTGACATTATCAACTTGCTCCATTGCATCCCATGGACATGAAGATTGATCATGTTGTCCACCACAGGATACACACAAGAGAACAGGAACAGGAGGCGGTGCTGGCGTAGTGTTTTGCACAGCAGAGACTTGAGCAATCTTTTGGATCATGCTCATCATGCTATCGACCTTAGCAGCCATGGCCGACATTTGATCAACTTCGTACATGCCTCCAATTTTCGGTTGAGCGGATGGACGGTGAGAGTACCAGGTAGATCCGTTTGTTGAGATCCGCTCAATGAGTTCTTCAGCTTCGTCAAGTTCAAGGCTCATGAATGATCCGCCCGCCGAGGCATCAAACAATATCCGTGAGTTTTCATTTAGGCCTTCACAGAAAGTCGTCATTAAGTGCCAGCTTTGGATATTGTGATGTGGGCATTGCCTTTGGAGATCTTTGAATCTTTCCCAAGCCTCGTAAAGGGGCTCGTTTGGATTTTGCTTGAAATTTTGGATCATTCTCCTGATCTTTGTGGTTTTGGAAGGCGGAAAGAATCGCTTGAGAAATTCGCCGTGAAGCTGGTCCCAAGTTGTGAAGTGATTGTCTGGAAATGAATCCAGCCAGCTTTGAGCTCTGTCCCTTAGAGAGAATGGGAACAGACGGAGCCTGATTGCATCAGTTGGCACACCATTGATTTTGAACGTATTGCACGCTCGGAGGAATTTGGTGATATGGTTGTGTGGGTCCTCCGTTGGTCCTCCACCAAACTGATCAGATGAGACCATGTGGATGACAGCAGGTTTGATTTCAAAGTTGTTTGCTGTGACATCCGGCGAAATAATGCTGTTGTGTTCCGCCACAGGAGGAGTGACATAGTCAGAAAGAGTCCTCCTGTTCGGAACTTCATTTTGTCTTCTCTGAATTTCCTGCACATTTTCACGAACATCGTTCCGTGGGACTTCCATTTTCTTTCTTTTTCTTATTTCTTTCAAATGTTTCTCAGTTTCTGGAAAGAAAAATTTTTCTTGATTAATCCCACATGAACGCGTTAGCATAAAAAGAAGGGGATTGGGGAGGGTTGAAGAGAGAGAGGGGAAGGGAAAGGGAAATAGAAGGTAAATAAAAAGGGGGAAAAAAAATAAAAGGAAAAGAGAAGGGAAAGGGGGGAAGGAAAAGAAAAAAAATGTAATGTACAATAATTAATAAAAAGGCTCTCAGTTAAGTCAAGAGGTAAAAACCACCGAGACAAGTGATACCTTAGTTAGTAGTTAGTGGTTAGAGTGCCAAGTGGTAATAAACCAACGAGGACACTAAAAAAAATAAAAAGAGTTAGTAATAATATATAGATATATAATATGTAATATATATAATATATAAATATAATATGTATAATATATA